TTTAAAGTCCAATTTGTTGGATATTAGGATTGCTACCCCTGATTGTTTCTTGGGTCCATCTGATTGGAAAAGCTTTCCCCAACCTTTAATTCTTAGGTACCTTCTGTCTTTGAATTTGAGGTTTGTTTCTTTTATGCAGGAGATGGATGGATTCTGTCTTCTTATCCATTCTGCTAGTCTATGTCTTTTTATAGGTGTATTAAGACCATTAATGTTGATGGATATTAACGACCATTGATTGTTCATTCTTGTTTATTTTTCATTTGGTGTTGGTGGTGAAATTATGTGTGGGATTTTATCCCTTTTTCCTTTTGACTGTTGGTAAAGTGGGATTATCTATTGCCTATATTTTTCTGGTTGTAGTTAACTTCCTTGAGTTGCAGATTTCCTTCCAAAACTTTCTGTAGGGCTGGATTGGTGGATATGTATTGTCTGAATCTGGTTTTGTCATGGAATATCTTGTTTTCTCCATCTATATTGATTGGAAGCTTTGCTGGGTATAGTAGTCTGGGCTGGTATCCATGGTCTCTTAGTGTTGGTGGAATAACTATTCAGGACCTTCTGGCTTTCAGAGTTTCCATGGAAAAGTCAGGTGTAATTCTGATAGGTTTGCCATTATATGTTACTTGACATTTTTCCTTTGCTGCTCTTAATATTTTCTGTTTGTTCTATATGTTTGGTGTTTTGATTATTATGTGGCGAGGATACCTTTTATTTTGGTTCAGTCTATTTGGTGTTCTGTAGGTTTCTTGTTTTTTTATTGGCATGTCTTTCTTTAGGTTGGGAAAGTTTTTTTTTATTTTGTTGAATATATTTTGTGTACCTTTGAGTTGGATTTTTTCACCTTCTTCTATACCTGTTATTCTTAGGTTTGGTCTTTTCATGGTATCCCATATCTCCTGGATATTTTGTGTTAGGGATTTTTTGGACTTAAGATTTCTTTGGTTGATGATTCTATTTCTGCTAGTGTGTTCAACTCTTGAGATTCTCTCTTCCATCTCTTGTATTCTGTTGGTTATGCGTATATCTGTTGTTCCTGATTGTTTATCCAGCTTTTTTATTTCCAGCATTCCCTCAGATTGTGTTTTCTTTATTGTCTCTATTTCAGTTTTTAGGTCTTGAAGCGTTTACTTGAAAGATTTGTTGATATCTTACATTTTTTGGTTTGTTTTTCTTCCATTTCTTTATGGGATTTTCTTATATCCTTTTTGAGGCCCTCTATCATTTTCATGAAGATGTTTTTAAGGTCATTCTCTTCTGCTTCATCTGCATTGTGATGTTCTGTTCTTGTTGGTGTATGGTCCCTTGTCTCCGGTGGTGTCATATTGGTTTTTCTGTTGTTGAATGCTTTTATATTGTGTTCTTCCCATCCTTTCTTCCTGTCGGTGTAGATGGAGTCTCTTCCTCTCCTGGTTCCCTTCTGGTATATGCAAACAGTTCCAATACTCTGATGTCAGTCTTCTTCTTGTGGATCGAGGCAGGACTAGTACTGGGGCCTTGGCTGTCTCTGGGTGTGCTGGAGCCAGCCGGCCAAGTTCGGACACTGTGAGCAGACTCCTGGAGTCATGTGTCCCCTAGCACTGCAGGGGAGCCTGAACTGACACACTGAATCTCTTAGAAGAGAAAGTGTGAGGTACCCTTGTTTGAATTGGTACAGAAAATATTTCTAAGTTGTATTAAGTTGACAGTTAATGCTAATCAGGGCAGCTGTCTTTCAAATTCTGTAGTAGGCACAAAGCTATGCATTTTTTTTTCCTCTGAGTTTTTGAGAAACATTGGTCTGTGGGAGCATCTAATGTCTTAGGACCACTCATTCCTCATGGGGCAAAGGGAAAACTGATTCTGGGGGAAGCAAAAGCATCCTGGTTATTTCAGTAGTGTGTGGCTCTTCAATGAACATTTTACGTGAAAAGATATATAATAAATCTTTGGTAAGAAATTTCTTTGTAGGGGTCATCAAGAAAAACATTTAATGCAGTTCATTAAGGGACAGTGATTTAAGAAAATCTGAGGATGAATCAGAGTCCTGAAATTATTGAATTCTCAGCCTTAAACAAGACTTCAATAACACCCACTTCAAGGCTCAGGGGATATCAAAGAAAAGGTGACAGAATTTAAGGGCCAGAGGATGGGAAATAATGCTGTGAAATGCAGTCTTCTGGACATGAATTGGTTGTAACACCCATGAACTCACAGTATGGTGGTTATCTGCATAAGACCTGTTTAAGACAGGTCTTGTGACTATTGCATCCTGGAATATTATTGTTGGGCTATGGGGAGGTCATATTCTCATTGTTATTGGCACTAGTAAGTTTGTCTTGCTCACATAAATAACCCCCACCTATACTCATATAAGCAACCCTAATTAGACTCAGTAGGTCTTAATAAAGAAGGTATGAAAATAGGAGGAGGCATCCTTGAGAAGAAGGAGTTTGTGAGAGTAGGAGGGAAGAGAGCATAATGTGTGTATGATTATCAAAATACTGTATATGTATATATGTGCAATAGTATATATGTTTATACAGTACTTTGATATATTCACACATATGTGCATGTGAAAATTGAAATAATAAATAAAAAAGAAAGGCTAAAAAGCACTGCCCTGTGATCATAAGTCTTGGATGCAAGTAACTTTGTTTTATGGGAGTCAGGGAGGACCATAGATGGATATTATCTACTAGAATCTTCCTGACTAAATATTATGCACTATAGCAATTTGGTACTCTGTAGTAAAAATAGTTCAATGTGCCTCAATTTCCTGAGCTTTCTTGTCTTTTTTCTTTTTACTTGAGTTTGAAAGACTGTGGGGAGACAGAAGTGGACAATTTGAGAAAAATTGTCTTTACAAATACACAGTTGAAATTCTTCCTGTGGGTAAAGGTAAATTTGAACAGATATTCAATACCACATTGGACAGAGGGCTGATCTCCAAAGTATATAAAGGATTCAAGAAACTAGACATCAAAATAACAAATAATCTAATAAAAATGGGTTACAGATCTAAACAGAGAATTCTCAACAGAAGAAACTCAAATGGCCAAAAGACACTTAAGGTAGTTACTCAACATCCTTAGCCATCAGGGAAATGCAAATCAAAATGGCTATGAGATACCATTTTACACCTCTCAGAATATTCAGCTAAGGTCAAGAACACTGATGACAGCTTATTTTGGAGAGGATGTGGAGTAAGGGGAACACTCCTTCATTGCTGGTAGGACTGCAAACTTGTACAACCACTTTGGAAATCAGTATCATGGTTTCTCAGAACATTGGATATCAATCTACCTCAAGACCCACCAATGGTCATTTGTAAATGACTACACCAACATATTTCTTTTTTATTCAATATTGTTATTAAAATAGGTCTTGATGGTGGAAGATATTTCTTAGGTAGTTTTTGCTTTATTTCAAACTATGATGAACTGTCTAGGATAGTCTACTAATACTTAGACAAAAGGTTTTAGACATAGATTTTTACATGCATACACACACACACTCCATATTTAACCCAATTTAAATAATTCCTTCTCTTTTCCCTAATTGGTGAAATACATTTATAATACTGTATTCATTATGTAACACCATCTTAAATAATTGACTAATATGTACATGCATATTTAGGACTATAAGGATAGCTAACAGGGAACATGAATCCACATTTGTAGCAATGCTGACTTTTATAACTACCACCCTCACACTATGAACCATACTTCATTCTCTGATAACTCTGTGGACACTAGTGCTATTCTGCATCAGAGGTGGTGAAGCAGAGAAGGGTTGTCATGAGAGCAACATATGACAGTATAGTGGCCCTTATGGGATTGATTTCAGTAATTTCTCCTGGACATCTCACCTGATCCAAGTCAGAAAATACACATTGTCTGGTCCCATCTCTTCATTTTATTTTCACAGTTCCTCTAATGGATTTGCATGTTTATATCATAGAAGGCATATGGTGACATCAATACCACAGAAGATAAATAGAACCAGTTCTCTCTTATTCTTAGACTAGCAGATGCCGAGAACTAAATTAGCCTTAGACTTCTGGACTCCACCAGATGGCTCACCCCAGCTTACTGCTCTCAGAAGGCCCCAGCCTCCTCTGTAGTCTCTTCATGGCTGACTTCATCTCTTGGTTCCTGAGAGTGTAGATCATGGGGTTTAGCATGGGGGTGATGACAGTGTTATTGATAGATATGGCTGTGTCCATGGGCAGGGTAGTGAAGGGTCGGCAATAGATGTAAACACAGGGCACGAAATGGAGGGTCACCACCATGATGTGGGAGGTGCAGGTAGAGAGAGCCTTGTTTCGTCCCTCCCCAGAATGGGATCTGAGCATAACCAGAATGATGGTGTAGGAACCCAGGAGCAAGAGGAACCACAGCAGGGTCACCAGCCCATTATTGGAGATCATGAGAAGTTCAAGAGCAAAGGTGTCAGTGCAGGCCAGCTTCACTACCTGGGGTACGTCACAGTAAAAGGCATCCAAGGTGTTGGGGCCACAGAAGGGGAGTGGAAGCATTAGAATTATCTGGACAATTGAATGCAAACCACCACCCACCCAGGAGGCCACCACCAAGGTCACCCATACTTCTCTCCTCATTATGGTTACATAGTGCAGGGGTTTAGAAATTGCAAGGTATCTGTCATAGGCCATTACAGAGAGGAAGAAAATATCTGCCCCACCAGCAAAGTGGAAGAAAAAGATCTGTGTCAAACAGCCATTGTAGGAGATGGTTTTCCTTTCTGATAAAAGACCCACTAGAAACTTAGGGACTGTGATAGATGAAAAAATAATATCCAGAATGGATTTGTTCCTCAAGAGGAAGTACATAGGGGTGTGGAGGCGGGACTCAAAGGTGATGGTAACAACGATGAGGGTGTTTCCCAGCACAGTTGTTACATACACGAGAAAGAAGACCACAAACAAAAAGAACTCCAGCTCTCGGAAGCGAGTAAGTGCCAGGAAGACGAATTCTTTCACATTGGTGTGGTTTATCTGGCCCATGACTGGGATAAGCTTCTGTCACATATACCTGCGGAGAAGATACTTTAGGGTTTGGAGAATGGCGCAGGAGGTTGAAACATCATTTGTTACACATTGTTTTGTTGTTAGGGATTTTTAAAGTACTCAGACAGTCATGACTATGTAGGAGAACTAGAACAGACTCTTAAATTGTTGATCTAGAAATTCCTTATCCTGATGGTCCTTGGTTTGCAGGGAGAACCATCATAGTCTAAGCCTTTTTTTCTGGGTAGGGAGAGGTTCCCATGCTGTAGTCATTTACCTATGATTTGTCCTCTGCCTTGTGAGGATAACTTCTTCACATGGAGGGCATTCTGCACATTTCACTGAGGTCTTTCAAAACCCTGCAATTTTATCTTGATTTTCACCTGAAAGTCTATGGGATCTTCAGAGTGGTTATAATTTTCTTTGAAGCTTAAATTAGTGCATGACTTGCCTACCCCTGCATAGTTGCTGTTACTCAAATTCAAGTAATTCTCCTTGACCATATTGGGTTAGGCTCCTTTGAGCCTTCTTCTCACCAGCTTCCCAGACTTGGCCTTCTTGTCCTTTCTTTCCAAACCCAGTTACAACAAACAACCTGCTAAGTCTGTTTAATGAGATTCCCCCACCCTTGGTGCCCAATCAAATTCTTCATCCTCATCTCTAATATCAAAATCTGTGTATCTGAGTGCTTGGCCTGTCTGTAGCAAGAATTCATTTTAGCCAGTTTAATGAAACTCATCCTGCTCCCCACATGCACTTTTAGTTTTGTCTCTAATTTCCACTAACCCTCTCATTCTCATTGGCTCATTGCTGTAAACGACCACCCATCCTTGTATCTGGAGTTGAGCTCAAACTTTCTTTCTCGTTGTAAACGTTTTGTCTAAAATCTATCTTGGTATGTTTAATCAGTGTCCACTGATCCTCCGACCTTAACAATATCCAGAAGATTTGTGACTACACTACTCTGCCAGATCAAGTCTGGGAATTAATTTGGCTTATCAGCATCTTGATGGGCAGATAAAGCTTACACCATTAGTTAAGTAGCCTGATTATTTAATTCTCATTGCCTAACCTTCAGATAGGAAGGAAGAATCAGGCCCTCGTGAGTACTGCTCTTTAGCAAACTGGAAAGCCGGATCTCACTGTGGACTCACAGGGCACTGGCAGACTGAGGGCCAGCGGTGGATGTTCAGGGCTGTTTAGTGACCAGAATGTTTAATGGTCAGAAGAACTTGTCATTAAAGCTTCACAGAACATTAGAGGTGGCTCAGACCAATGCTCTTCACTACAGCAGTAAAAAAGAAAGTTGTTAGTTTGTTCAGATTCAGACTATGGATTAGGAAAAGAGAACGGTTAGCCAGAGTGTCTGATGTGTATTTCAAAGACTTTATACTATTGCTATATGATATAAAAATAGTTTCTGTTTCCAAAACAGAAATGAGTCATTAGGGAATAAGATCAGTCTCAATAAGAATGTCTGCATTTCCTAAGCAAATTGTATCCCAGAATTTTTAAAAATATAATTCAGACAGCTGAAATGACTAACTTTCAGTTCAGGAGTAGAGGCGGAGTGCTGACATTTGGAGCAGTGCAATTCAGTGTGAAAAAGACAGCATAATAAAGATAAGAATATAGATGGAGAAAAGAAAACATTTTCCCTCAAAATAAAAGTGTTCTAGAGAATTCCACAAACAATCAATTGCTCATGTTTTTTCTTTAAAATTACCTCAAAATTGGGTCAACTTTAACTCCTTTACTTGAGAAATTAGGACACATGTAACACTTAAATAAAAATCCCGTGGGCACTTAGATTCCTGATATTCCTATCATTAAAAAAGTCATTTAGTTAAAACATTTCCCCAGGGTGCACAACGCCATAGGATTCTTACTTCAATGTGTCAGCACTTAGTAAGGCCCTTCTTGTGACCGGATATTCTGAAGGGATTTGTTTCTCTAATCCTCACTCACTTGTTAAGCAGCTGGAGTAAGTCATGCAGGTGATACACTCTACGTGAAACTTTGTCTTTTATCAAATGTATCTACAAGGAAGAAAATGCATCTAATGATGTTGTTGAAGGCATTATCTGTGAAGCTCCAGGAGAAATGTTTCTGTTGTACAGGGGGACTTTAGTAATGCTCATCTTAGAAACAATCAGAACTTTGTTACTAACTAACTATCTTGGTTTTGCTTTTCAAAATGTGTGTGTGGCTTAATGATTTACACTATTTAAAAAATGTGTAGCCATGGCTTGCATATATCTTGCTACTGATGCTATAGAATCTGCCCGATCTTCTGCAGATTGATGGACATGCTTACTAAGACAGAAACTTACACGGGTACAGAATAAATCAGGCAGGGTAGGAATCATATTTGTTATGAAGGATTGAGAGGAACAAGACACTATCTGGGTGAGAAAGCAGTCTCGGGAGATTGGAGCTGAGAAAGGGATATTGGAAAGTCAGTGATGAGTGGCATGGAGTCAACCTATCTGAAGGCATAGGAGAGAGAGGGCCACATAAGTGTCACGTTCCTCTTAAGTTGACTAGTGGAATCTAATTAGTATTTCCAAATAATGCAGCATGGAGCAATTGGTGAATGATTTTCTTTGCATGCATCTATAATTTCTTTAAGACAAATTCCCAGAAATCAACTTAAAGTCACATGACATATTAAGTTTCTAGTTTTGACTGACCTTAATTCTAAATGTGCTTGAATGTCTGACTTCTTTTTACATATGCATACTTAAAACTGAAATAGAGTGCAACACTTATGTATTTCTCACAGAAAATGAAAACTATAGAAATCAAATGTTCAAGCAGTGAAAATATTAGAATAAAATTGAAAGTTTTAAAAATAGTTTTTGGAAGGGTTGGAGCCCATTCTATATGGAGAGATACCTTGCCCAGCCTAGACACAAGGGTGTGTGGGGGTAGAGAGGGTCCTTGGTCCTGCCTCAATGGGATGATGGAACAGACTTAGTAGACTTCCTAGATGGCTTAGGGGTTAAAAGCAACTGGCTGTTCTTTCAGAGGACCTGGGTTTTGATTCCTAGCCCCTACAGGGTGGCTCCCAACCATTTGTGATTCAACTGGATCTGATGCCTCTTTCTGGCCTCCATAGGTACCAGAGGCACCAAGGCACATAAGTGGTACATAGACATACATGCAGTCAAAATACTAATACACATAAAAATAAATAAACAGAGCCAGATCTTGGAAATAACCCCTCAACTGAAGAATGGATAAAGACAATGTGGTATATTTGCACAATGGAGTACTACTCAGCAGTAAGAAACAATGACATCCTAAAATTCACAGGCAAATGGACAGAACTAGAAAAAACATCCTGAGTGAGATAACCTAAAACCAGAAAGACAAATATAGTATGTACTCACTCATAAGTGGATACCAGACATAAAGCAAAAGATACCCAGCCTACAATCCACAACCCCAGAGAAGCTAGAACCCTCTTCCAGAAAAAGATGGAAGCAGATGCAGAAATCCACACCTAACCAATGGGGCCAAACTCCTGGAGTACAATCGAAGTGAGGGAGCCTGCATAATATAGGTGAAAACCCTTAATATAGGTGACAACGGTGTGACTGGGACAATATATGAGGTCACTGGCAGTGGGTCCAAACAAACCATTAATCTTTATTGTTTTTGAGACAAGGTCTTCCTTATGCATCCTTGCTTGTCTTGAAACCCACTATGTAAACAAGCTGGCCTCAAACTTCTAGATATCTGCTTGCCCCTGCCTCTCATGTGCTAGGATGTACACCACCATGCTGTTCTATTCTATTCTATTCTATTCTATTCTATTCTATTCTATTCTATTCTATTCGTCTATCTATCTATCTATCTATCTATCTATCTATCTATCTATCTATCTTGCCTGGCTTATTCTTAATATCTTTAATGAAGACATGAAGTCACACAGATGTGTGATCAGCCCACATATAAAGAGATGGTTAATCATACTATTAATGAAAGAAATGTAAACTAAAATTGTAATCAGATATAATATTTCATGTAGAATACTGGCCAATGTTGAAAAGACCTGTTACTTAGATATGAATATGGGGAAAGAAATATCTTCAAGTATGTTAAATATCAGGGACAAAATTTGGAGGAATGACATTTTGGAAATATGTATTAAAACTTAAAGTGTGAGAACATTATTAGCATGAAATTCTGTTTTAGGAATTCATGTTAAAGGATGAATAAACCAAATGCCTAAATATCTTGTGATTTTAAAGTAAGTAACACATATTCACCATGTGAAGTGAAATATTTTCTCTAATGATTTGAACTCTGATATTGTATATTTTTCTTTCCTTTTCTGTAAAATTGTTGATGAAATGTGTGTGTGTGTGTGTGTGTGTGTGTGTGTGTGTGTGTTGGGGCAGTGGGGGTCAGCTCCGGGTTTTCTTTTCATTTCTTAAAGCTCTGTGAACATTGCCTCAATGAAGAACCTGGGACCTGTCCATTCTGTTCCCTCAGAACTTAGATCAAAGCTATTGGCAGCTTGCCTCTCTTTGGAGGGCTAGCATTTACCTGTGATTGTGGCCATTCACTTTAGAAAGTCCTAGGTGTATGCTCAAGAACAGGTCAGCATCAAGTGATGGCCATTCTACATGATCCCCTCAGGGTTGTATCATCAGCTTGAGAGGCAACTTGCCCAAAGGACACAACTATTGTGGTCAGGTTCAAGTAGTTTACATTCTGACTCTAACCTTGAGCAACTTAGCCATTATGAAGTTTGAAATATTATTCCATAAAATGAGAAGCCTAGGGTTTTCTTCACAGTGGGCTTTGCTTATGGCAGTCCAGCATCTTATATATCTATCTTTTCCTTAAAATGCAAAGCTCCTGAAGTCAGCTTTCTTTCATATCTATTGAATTGGTAGCACCTTCCTAGCATATACATCAGTTATTCAATAATTCTTTTGGGACAGACATATGATCTAATGGACATGAGTGTGTAATGTGTAGTA